GGCCCTCGTCAGCCGCCCGCTTTACCTGATGGTGGCGCCACCTCTGAATAAATGCGAGTATCTGACAAGTTTTACACAAGACTCATGTTGTTATAAAATAAACTGAAGTCTCCTGAAGAGAAGAGACCTGAGGTTCAGAACAGGACTCAGCTCAGAGACCAGACTTCTGTCCCTGCAGTCCACTCTGCTCCTGTTGTAGGGAGTATTATACCTCTGGTGACACAGTCCAGGGTAACAGGAGGTGGCAGAGTGAGACTGGCACAGCGCCGCAGTTTCTCAGTATCACAGTTTGTATCAAACCTGCAGCAGCAGCAGCGACGCTCAACACGTCTTTACTCCAGGACTAAACATGGACCTTCACAGAAACTCTCTTCTCCTAAACTCCTCTCCTCCTGTTTCCTCTTCCCTTCTCGTTCTCTCTCCCCCCAGAGCCTTTCTCCTCCCCCGTTTCTCTCTCCTGCTCCCTCTGCCCTCTGCCCCAGAGCCTGTAAAACTTGTCATAACAGCGTGACATTTCCATGCGCTCGTGTGAAGCTCGGGTGAAGCTCGAGTGAAGTTCAAGTGAAGCTCGTGTGAAACTTGAGTGAAACTTGAGTGAAGCTCGGGTGAAGCTCGTGTGAAGCTCGTGTTACAGTCGTATGGAGCCGTACACTCGACTGAACCAAAACCATGACTCAGAGGATTCCACGAGAGAAGGCCCCAGGAACACTCTCACTTCACTCATCACTCATCACACTTCACACTTCACACATCACACTTCACACATCACACTTCACACTTCACACTTCACACACACTTCACACTTCACACATCACACTTCACACATCACACTTCACACGTGCTCGTTTCAAACCAACAAACCTCCTTTAGCTGACAGACGCATTTACTCTGCACCCGTCTGTAAAAGATTCAGTAAAGTCCTGGTTTAGTCCTAGTTTAGACCTGGTTTAGTCTTGGTTTAGTCCTGGTTTAGTCCTGGTTTAGTCCTGGTTTAGTCCTTGGTTTAGTCCTGGTTTAGTCTTGGTTTAGTCCTGGTTTAGTCCTGGTTTAGTCTGGTTTAGTCTGGTTTAGTCCTGGTTTAGTCCTGGTTTAGTCCTGGTTCAGACCTGGTTCAGTCCTGGTTCAGTCTTGGTTTATTAGTCTGGTTTAGTCCTTGGTTTAGTCTTGGTTTAGTCCTGGTTTAGTCTTGGTTTAGTCTTGGTTTAGTCCTGGTTTAGTCCTGGTTTAGTCTTGGTTTAGTCCTGGTTTAGTCTTGGTTTAGTCCTGGTTCAGTCCTGGTTTAGTCCTGGTTCATTTTTCATTCAAACACAAAATCAAAAACTGAAAAAATGAATCATTATCTGTTTTTTCATTTTGGTTTTGGAGACAAATAACGAAGAAAATTGCAGTTTTTTTTAACATTTTCTTATTTTTGGTTTTATTTTGAAAAACGAATACAGTAAACGAATGACACACGGATTTGTTTTAGTCAGATTTTTCAAGACAATCGGTTTCCTAGACTCTCCACGCTCCAGATCCTCCAGAGTCTCGGTCAGGACCTGAGCTGTGGTCCTGTTCTGGGAGAAACCGGAGCAGACGGGGGGAGAAACGTCTGAACTCCGTGCGTCTCCTTCGCGTCTGGAATGTCGTACCTCACCGAACTCGAATAACGACTGATGTCTGTGTTAAAAAAATCCCCTGTGGTATTTGAAAAACACTTCTGAAACCGGACGCGTTCTCACACGAGGAGGATCGGCGCGGTCAAAGATAGACTCGTATAAAAATGTGCAGACGGATAAAAGCGTCGGCTCAGCACAGTTGTCACAGTATCAGAGCGCTCGCACTCCTCCTGCACCGGGGACTCCCTCAATGTGCGGCATTTCCTCACAGAAGACCTAAAAATAAACACGTTAAAGACGAGCTGTGACGCAAAAGTGTTTTTATTAAAAGCTTTTAGTTCATCTCCACCGCGTTGTACAGTTCAAAAACAGGACTGAAGAGGTTTAAATGTCGTCCACGCAAGTTTGAGAAAAACGCAAAAACATGACACAAAACTGGACACAAAAACTGGACAAACCTTTCAGGAGTTTCAGGAGTTTGATTGTGGTTCTGTGCCGTTATTCCTGATGTCACTATAGACCAGGAGAGTCAAACTCATTTTGTTCCGGGGGTCGTATCCAACCGACTTTGATCCCAAAGTGTCCGGATCAGAAAACTCATGTCATATAAACCCCAAAATAACAATAACTTCAAATATTTGTGCAGAGAAACGCAAATCTATTACAGAAATCTTTTTTAATTGATGAACTCTTTCTTACTATAATATTATAATATTAAGAACAACCTGAAACTTGAAGAAAAATTCAATTTCAACACAAAGTTTTAACAATAATTTGTATGCCAACAGGAATAAATTCAATCAATCAATTTTTGTTGTAAAATCCTGCACTCGGCTCCACTTTTCTCATGTTGGACATTTTTCTGATGAGGGTGTCACGGTCAACAGTCAAAACGATCGTCCTTTAAGAGCGTTTGGAAAGAGACAAGTCTTCATTTTGTGCTGCTGGTCTGGTGGGGGGCCACGTACAGAGACGCTGGAGACGCTGCTGTGATAAACACCACAGAAAATTAACAACATTTTAATAGAAAATATCATTTAAATATTTTAGTAGAAAATCACCCAAGGGCCACATTAAAGGTCTTGGAGGGCCGGATCTGGCCCCCGGGCCTTATGTTTGACACCTGTGATGTAGAGTCTTTGCACCGTCACGTGTCCCTATGGCAACGGTACCTACGCCGCCATGACACCGGGCACGATATGTCACTGACTTCAGCAGCGTCGGAGAAACATGGGCAGGTTTTGTTGTGTTTTTGTTGTTCTAGAAGCTCTGAAAGGAATAAAACGATTCGTTTCTTCACTGTTCCTCTGGAAATGACTCATCAGGATCAATCAAGGGAATGGTGCAGATTGACAGTCTCGCTTCTGAACTGTAAAGGGCTTTGGGTGTTTTGAAAGGCGCTAGAAAACTTGATTAATTAATGAATTTATTTATTAATTGACAGACTGATTGATTAATTAATTGACAGACTGATTGATTAATTAAAAGGGGAAATCGTCCAGCTGAGGTCCTGACCAAGACCAGCTCAGGTTTAACCCAGAGACACTGAAGGACGAGTCAAACGCAGAGGGCGACTTCTCTACAGGAACAATAAAGTGAACCTGAACCTTCAGACAGGTGCAGAGGACAGGTGACAGGTGCAGAGGACAGGTGACAGGAGCAGAGGAGGTGACAGGTGACAGGACAGGAGCAGAGACAGGAGAGCAGGGGGTGACAGGTGCAGAGGACAGGTGACAGGTGCAGAGGACGGGTGACAGGAGCAGAGGACAGGTGACAGGTGCAGAGGACAGGTGACAGGTGCAGAGGACGGGTGACAGGTGCAGAGGACAGGTGACAGGAGCAGAGGACAGGTGACAGGTGCAGAGGACGGGTGACAGGAGCAGAGGACAGGTGACAGGTGCAGAGGACAGGTGACAGGAGCAGAGGCAGGTGACAGGTGCAGAGGACAGTGACAGGTGCAGAGGACGACAGGTGACAGGTGACAGGAGCAGAGGACAGGTGACAGGAGCAGAGGACAGGTGACAGGAGCAGAGGACAGGTGACAGGAGCAGAGGACAGGTCAGAGGACAGGTGCAGAGGACAGGTGACAGGAGCAGAGGACAGGTGACAGGAGCACGAGGTGGTGGACTTGTGCCTGTTTGCCGCACACACTAAACCCTGGTGTTTACTCGTCTCCTTGGATCTGCAGATCTGACCTGAGGCGTCCACCAGTCACATCCAACACCCTGATGAACCCGCGACCCGACACCCTGACCAACCCCACCTGCCCACACACTCCACTCACACGACCTGCCCACTCAAACCCACGACCTGAAACCTGCCCACTCAAACCCACAACCTGCCCACTCAAACCCACAACCTGCCCACTCAAACCCACAACCTGCCCACTCAAACCCAAGACCTGCCTACTCAAACCCAAGACCTGCCTACTCAAACCCAAGACCCAACACCCTGACCAACCCACAACCTGCCCACTCAAACCCACGACCCAAGACCCTGACAAACCCACAACCTGAACAACCTGCCCACTCGAACCCACAACCCCACTCAAACCCAAGACCCAAACCCCACACCCATAACCTGACTCCCCCTGACGAACCCACAACCTGCCCACTCAAAAACCCACCCTGCCACCCAAACCCAACCTGCCCACTCAAACCCACAACCTGCCCACTCAAACCCAACCTGCCACTCAAACCCCAAACCTGCCCACTCAAACCCACCTGCCCACTCAAAACCCTGACCTGCCACTCAAACCCACAACCTGCCCACTCAAACCCACAACCTGCCCACTCAAACCCACGACCCAAAACCCTGACCAACCCACAACCTGCCCACTCGAACCCACGACCTGCCCACTCAAACCCACAACCTGCCCACTCAAACCCAAACCACAACCCTGACCACACAAACCCTGCCCACTCAAACCACCCCCACTGAAACCCTGACGAAACCAAACCCTGACCAAACCCTGACCCAACACCTGACCCACAACCCACGACCTGCCCACTCAAACCCACGACCTGCCCACTCAAACCCACAACCACACCTTGAGGAACCCACAACCTGATACCCCGACGAACCCACAACCTGACACCCTGACGAACCCTGATGAACCACACAACCTGACCACGAAACCCACAGCCTGACACCCCAACGAACACACGACCCAACACCCTGACAAACCCATGACCCAACTCCTTGATGAATCCACGACCCGACACCCTGACAAACCCACATTTTGCCACAGAAAACCATTAACCGGAAGTTCCACAAACCTACAGCGGGACACTTGGACGGGAGAAGGACCACAGAGCTGCATGAAACAAAAAAGCAGATTTATGTGACGATAATTTGACCAAAAAAGCAGATTCCGCTCAAACTGTTTCCTTCTGTTCGCAGCAACACACGGTGGTTCCTCACCCGGACATCGCCAACGAGACGGTGACCATCCCTCCGCGCTTCACGCCGTTCCAGGACCCCTTCTTCATCGTGGAGACCATCTGCATCTGCTGGTTCTCCTGCGAGCTCCTGGTGCGGTTCTTCTGCGCCCCCAGCAAAGTCCGCTTCTGCAAGGACGTCATGAACGTCATCGACCTGTTCGCCATCATCCCGTACTTCGTCACCATCGGCACCGAGCTCGCCAAGGACAAGGGGACGCAGCCCTCCGTGTCGCTCGCCCTCATCCGCGTCATCAGGCTCGTCAGGGTTTTCCGAATCTTCAAACTCTCGCGTCACTCCAAGGGGCTGCAGATCCTGGGCCAGACCCTCAAGGCGAGTCTGCGGGAGCTCGCCCTGCTCATCTTCTTCCTCTTCATCGGCGTCATCCTCTTCTCCAGCGCCGTGTACTTCGCCGAGGTGGACCGGCCCAACACGCTGTTCACCAGCATCCCCGAGGCCTTCTGGTGGGCGGTGGTTTCCATGACGACGGTGGGCTACGGCGACATGTACCCGGAGACGGTGGGCGGGAAGCTGGTGGGCTCCATGTGCGCCATCGCGGGCGTGCTCACCATCTCGCTCCCCGTGCCCGTCATCGTCTCCAACTTCAGCTACTTCTACCACCGCGGCATGGAGTGCGAGGACACGACGCAGTACCACCACGTGGAGACGTCGCTGTGGGAGAAAGACGGCGAGGAGGACGACGGCGAGGCGGACGACAGGGGAGGAGGAGGAGGAGGAGGGGAGGACTGGCCCGGGGAGTTCATGGAAGACGTGGCGCCGCTGTACGAGCCGAACAACAGCGAAGTGTGTCACCCGCTCAACGGGACGATCGTGTCGGGGCAGAAAACGCTGAGCTTCTACCAGCACGAGCCCATGGTGACGCAAGTGTGACGAAGAAGAGAAAAGAGGACGAAAAGAAAGAGAGGAACGAAAGAAAAGAGGAGGAAAGAAAGGAAAGAGTCGTTCATTCGCTTTTCAAAATAAAACCAAAAATAAGAAAACAAAACTAAACCGAAACAATTTTCTTCATTATTTGTCTCCAAAACCAAAATGAAAAAACAGATAATGATTTGTTTTTTTTTTGTTTAACTAAAAAAATAAAAAAAAAAACTATAAAGGACTAAACCAAGTGTAAACCAGGACTAAACCGTTTTCAGTCCTCGTTTGGTCCCAGTCTCAGTCCTCGCCTCAGTCCCGGTCTCAGTCCCAGTCTAAGTTCTGGCCTCAGTCCCAGTCTCGTCCCGGTTTCAGTCCTGGTCTCAGTCCTGGTCTCAGACCCGGTCTAAGTCTTGGTCTCAGTCCCGGTCTGGTTCCTGTCTGGCCCTGGACCTGGTTTAGTCCTGGTTCAGTCCTGGTTTCAGTCCTGGTTCAGTCCTGGTTCAGTCCTGGTTTAGTCCTGGTTCAGTCCTGGTTTAGTCCTGGTTCAGTCCTGGTTCAGTCCTGGTTTAGTCCTGGTTTAGTCCTGGTTCAGTCCATTATCCATTTTTTCCATTTTTCATTTAAACATAAAATCGAAAACTGAAAAATTTACTTATTATCTGTTTTTTTCATTTTGGTTCTGGAGACAAATAATGAAGCAAATTGTTGTTTTTTTCTTTTTCTTTTTTTTGGTTTTATTTTGAAAGAATGAATGAATGAACGACACACTGATTAAGGACAGAGAGGAAAGACGCGGGGAGGATCATGTTGTCACGACACTCAAATCTCAAACTCAATTTCGATACTAAGAAATAGACTCGATACTCGATACTGATCCCACGATGAAAATAAAAATCTTTTCTTTAGACGATCTCCTGTGATTTTCCACGTTAAACGGTGGAAATTTCTTTGCTATTCCCACGTGGAGTTGAATCTGTGTGATCCAGCAGTGGTCCAGGCCTAAACCAGGCCTAAACCAGGCCTAAACCAGGCCTAAACCAGGTCTAAACCAGGTCTAAACCAGGCCTAAACCAGCTAAACCAGGCCTAAACCAGGTCTAAACCAGGTCTAACCAGGCCTAAACCAGGTCTAAACCAGGTCTAAACCAGGCCTAAACCAGGTCTAAACCAGGCCTAAACCAGGTCTAAACCAGGTCTAAAACCTAAACCAGGCCTAAACCAGGTCTAAACCAGGCCTAAACCAGGTCTAAACCAGGCCTAAACCAGGTCTAAACCAGGTCTAAACCAGGTAAACCAGGTCTAAACCAGGTCTAAACCAGGTCTAAACCAGGTCTAAACCAGGCCTAAACCAGGCTAAACCAGGTCTAAACCAGGTCTAAACCAGGTCTAAACCAGGTCTAAACCAGGCCTAAACCAGGTCTAAACCAGGGTCTAAAACCAGGTCTAAACCAGGTCTAAACCAGGCCTAAACCAGGCCTAAAACCAGGTCTAAACCAGGCCTAAACCAGGTCTAAACCAGGTCTAAAACAAGGCCTAAACCAGGTCTAAACCAGGTTAAAAAAAAACAAACAACAGGTTTAAACAGGTGGGCAAAGGGATTCTAACATTTGACAGAAAGCCGGACAGGAGCAGGTGGATGGAGTTTTTTGGTGATCCACCTGAGAAAAGGAAAAAAATAACATGGGATAAATAGAACATATGCCCCATGTTTTTGAAATATCCCAAAATTGAAAATCATGTCAACAAAATATCAACAAAATGTTTTTTCAATCCCAAGGTTTTTACTGTTTATTGAAATGACTTTGAAAAACACTGAAAATGATTTTATTAATGTTCTTCAAATTCAACGGGCCGGACTAAACAGTTTAAAGGGCCGCATATGGCCCCTGGGCCATAGTTTGTCCACCTCTGGTCTAAACTAAGTCTAAACCAGGTCTAAACCAGGTCTAAATCCAGGTCTACTCCAGGTCTAAACCAGGTCTAAACTGGGTCTAAACCAGGTCTAATCCAGATCTAATCCGGGTCTAATCCAGGTCTAATCCAGGTCTAAACCAGGTCTAATCCAGATCTAAACCAGGTCTAATCCAGATCTAATCCAGTCTAATCCAGGTCTAATCCAGGTCTAATCCAGGTCTAATCCAGGTCTAAACCAGGTCTGATCCAGTTAAAAAAAAAAAAAAAAAAAAGAAAAAAACAGCTCTAAACCAGATCTAAACCAGGTCTAAACCAGGACTAAACCAGGTCTCAAACCAGATCCAAACCAGGTTTAAAACCAGGTCTAAACTAAGTCTAAACCAGGTCTAAAACCAGGTCTAAACTAAAAGGTCTAAACCAGGTCTAAAACCAGGTCTAATCCAGGTCTACTCCAGGTCTAAACCAGGTCTAAATCCCACCATTCTAATCCAGGTCTAAACCAGGTCTAAACCAGGTCTAATCCAGGATCTAATCTGGGTCTAACCAGGTCTAAACCAGGTCTAATCCAGGTCTACTCCAGGTCTTAAACCAGGTCTAAATCCAGATCTAATCCAGGTCTAACCAGGTCTAAACCAGGTCTAATCCAGGATCTAATCCAGATCTAAACCAGGTCTAATCCAGGTCTAAACCAGGTCTAAACCAGGTCTAAACCAGGTCTCAACCAGATCCAAACCAGGTCTAAACCAGATCCAAACCAGGTCTAAACCAGATCCAAACCAGGTCTAAACCAGGTCTAAACCAGGTCTAAACCAGGTGTACATTAGTCTTTTTGTTCTTACACTTGTTCTAAACACATTCAGGAAATGTTTATTTTTTCTCTTTTAGTATCGTTTCCTGCTCACGTGGGAGATGATGAGTACCGAGTATCGATACGAGTTTTATTTAATATCGATTAGTCTCTGATTTTCGATACTTGTGACAACCCTGAAGGAGAAAGGCTACAGAGGAAGAGGAGGAAGAGGAGGAGGTAGAGATGAAGAGCGGTGAGAGGACGAGCGTTTCTACCATTTATACTGTTTTTTACTTCATCAGCTTCTACTGTTTTTATATTTAAAGCTGCACTGTGGAACATTTCTGATGGAGAACGCACGGCTCTTTATTTACTTTTCCCCCAAACTCAGAACTCACCTCACGCAGGAATTACTTTTACTTTTACATTACTTTTTTACTTCTAGTTGAATAATAATCACTTTTGGCTTCTCTACCCCAACACCAGAAAAGTTCCAGAGTGCAGCTTTAATGCAGACTACTGTAGTGAAGTTAAACATATGAAATAATCTGCGTGAGGTCGGTCGTCAAACACAAACCTGCACAAAAAAACAAAACAAAACTGTGTCTATTGTTTGTGCTGCTTTAGTTTTGGAAATATTAACGATTCTTTTACAGGTCAAATTGGGGAAGAAACACTTTTTTTTTTTTTTAAAACGACACAAAATGGAGTCAAAAGTTTGTGCTGTAAAAGTTTGGTTTGTGTGATTCTGGTTCTTAAGACATAAACTGTTTTATTTTTGTCGATTTGTCGTCGTCCAGCCTCAAAACGGCAGAAAATTTAATCAAACATTTGTATTTCGTTGCTGTAAAAAAATAATAATACTAATTTTAGAAATAAACTCACACAAATTAAAACAGTCACAGCACAAAACAACACAAACAAAATACAAATATTTGGTTTAATTTTCTGTTGTTTTGAGATCTAAACCAGGTTAAAAAAAAAAAATCTGATCTAAACCAAGTCTAAACCAGAACTAAACCAGAACTAAACCTAAACCAAAAAAAAATCTGCTAAACCAGGTCTAAACCAGAACTAAACCAGAACTAAACCAGAAATAAACCAGAAATAAACCAGAAATAAACCAGAACTAAACCAGGTCTAAACCAGAACTAAACCAGAAACTAAACCAAACCAGGTCTAAACCAGAACTAAACCAGAAACTAAACCAGAACTAAACAGAAATAAACCAGAACTAAACCAGAAATAAACCAGAACTAAACCAGAAATAAACCAGAACTAAACCAGGTCTAAACCAGAACTAAACCAGAACTAAACCAGAACAGAACTAAACCAGTCTAAACCAGAACTAAACCAGAAATAAACCAGAACTAAACCAGAAATAAACCAGAACTAAACCAGGTCTAAGCCAGGTAAAACAATAAATAAAAAAAAAAAAAAAAAAAACAGGTCTAAACCAGGAATAAACCAGAGATAAATTTGTTTTAAACCAGGCAAAAACCAGGTCTAAACCACATTTAAAAAAAAACTGGTCTAAACCAGCTCTAAATCAGGTCTAAACCAGACAAAAACCAGGTCTAAGCCAGGACTAAACCAGATTTCAACCAGGTCCATGTAACATTTTGAGGGGCTGGATGACGTCACTGACCCAAAATAAAACAGTTAATATTTTAAGAACCAGAATCACACAAATCAAACTTTCTGCAGCACAAACGAAACACAAACAACTGTCTCTGGAGTTTCCTGGAGGCCGGTTTGACCCCAATTTGACCTATAAAATAATCCTTACTATCTCCAAAACGAAAGCAGCACAAACAAAATAAACGACTGACATAGTTTTATTGTAGGTTTGTGTTTGCTGAACTTAACGCCGGTTTTGAGACGGGCTGAGTTTGTGCAGCGGCTTCGAAACAGCAGTCGGCTCCAGGGCATTATGTTTGAAAAAAAACATCGAAACGGACTCAGGTCGAAGAGTCTCGCCGAAGAACCGGAGGGAAACGGACTCAGAAACAGACTTCAAAGGCGACTGCTGACGCTCGATCGCTCTTCGTGTTTTTGCACTTTAGTTTGTGAAATGCTGCTGCAGATTTAAATGAACTGTTTGACTGCTGAAAAGCTTTATTTGGTGAGGGTCATTCCAGACCAAATCTCCGAATGCCCCCCCCGACCATCTCAGATTTGACTGAAAAAAATTCTAGTCCCAAATTTTTGCTCCCAACAACATATTTTTGTCATTAAAAATATTTTGTCAACTCTGCACTGACCTGTTTTGAGCAGAGTTTCCGAGGAGCCACTTTCAGATTTCTGTATCTAAAAACTATTTAAGGTCCTTCAAATTTTCAAAAGTTAAAATCTGGCAAATGTACTTGTAGAATCTGGACTTTTGCACATGTGCTTTTGGTTCGTCACAGATTTCTGGGGGGTTGAATTTGCTTGAAAATTCGCCTCTAATATGAGGGCATCTTCGTAGTCCATGAATGTTCTGCGTGTTTGTGTGTATGTTCCGAGGAGGAGGCCGAGGCTGGGGACTCGGAGGCGGACTCATCCATCACCCTGGCCGAAGTCACTGAGGTGGTTGGAAAGCTCCTTGGTGGCAAGGCTCCGGGGTTGGATGAGATCCGTCCTGAGGATCTTAAGTCTCTGGATGTTGTGGGTCTTGGCTGACACGCCTCTTCAACATCGCGTGGCGGTCGGGGACAGTACCTCTGGACTGGCAAACCGGGGTGGTGGTCCCTCTGTATAAGAAGGGGGACCGGAGGGTGTGTTCCAACTACAGGGGGATCACACTCCTCAGCCTTCCCGGTAAGGTCTATGCCAGGGACTGGAGAGGAGAATCCGGCCGATAGTCGAACCTCGGATTCAGGAGGAGCAGTGTGGTTTTGGTCCTGGTCGTGGAACACTGGACCAGCTCTACACTCTCCATCGGTGCTCGAGGGTTCATGGGAGTTTGCCCAACCAGTCCACATGTGCTTTGTGGATCTGGAGAAGGCATTCGACCGTGTCCCTCGTGGCGTCCTGTGGGGGGCGCTCTGGGAGTATGGGGTCTGGTTATGACCGGAGCAGGAGTTGTGATCATTGCCAGGAGTAAGTCAGACCTGTTCCTGGTGCATGTTGGACTCCGCCAGCGTCTCCCCTGTCACCGGTTCTGTTCATTATGTTTATGGACAGAGTTTCTAGGCGCAGTCAGTGGTCGGAGGGTCTGGTTTGG